GAATCCACTTAACACGCGGTAGCGCCATGCCTCCCAGTGCTACCTATTTAACACGCAAGACTCGTTAGCATGCGGTACAGGAACTTGCTATGTAGGGCTACAGATTTGCTCACTAACTCACTGACATAGAAAACGACAGGAAGTGCGGAGCGGAAACGTGTTGTACATCTTTACCGCCGACAGGGGTGGGGCAGCAACGTTAAAGCGCTGCCGCAGCAAAGGACCCTGTAGCGTTTTAAGGTCCCTGCCCCTTTTGCCCCCCCTCGGCCGCCGACGGGCGGGGGGGGGCAGCAAAGGGAGCAGCTGCCCCAAGGCCAGCAATTTAAAAGGGCCCGGGGCTCCGGACACCGCTACCGCAGCAGCGCTGTCCAGAGCCCCGGGCCCTTTAAATCGCCACGGGAACCCCAGGCGGCACAGACCAGGCAGTCCGGAAGGGCAATGCTGACCCCCTAGCCCCACCCGTTCCGCCTGAGCCCCCGCCCCTTCCAGAGACCAGAGCGGCCCCCACCCCATACCGGTAAGTGTCCTGAGTTACTTTCACCCCGTGTAGTAATAATAATGGTTTTATTAGATTAGACATTTGAATTTATATTCTTACAAAGCACCGTTAACAGATAGGCCTGCAGTATTTGGGACGCTGTGAATACGTATGTAATCCTAGATAATTATACATGTATATATAGATATTTTAAGGTATTTCAGCATGGCCCTCAACCCGCGGTCCTTTAACACGCGGTTGTGATGGCTTGACTCCTGACATCCGCGCATAAACGGGTCTGTACTGTACTTCAATATCACACCAGTACACCAGGTTCACCAGTGCAAGAACAGTCTCTCTTCACACGCATGCTCACATGCCACTAAACTCTCAGCATTATGAAGTGACAGTCCCTTGGGCTACCCAAGCCTGCGAGCCACCTTGTTACCCCCGCCTCCAGTGAGAGGGAGTCTTCCTTGTGGTAGCTGGGTGGCAGCTCACAGACACCATCAGCCCTTCAGCCACTCAAGCACTGCTCTCTGGGCTTATGCCAGCCCTAACGTCCCCTTGCAAGTTAACAGCTCCACCGCAATCCCAGAGTCCCTTTGAATTGTTCTCCCATGACATCCAGTCCCTGACACTGGCTATTCGCACAATTTCCAGATCCTCTGCACACAAAGGTGCAGTCGACCCTATTTTACTGGTTCTTCCTTAAACCACCACCCCTATTACCCACACAGCACTTATAATAAAACAAAAGGAGGTTTACTTAAGGAAGAATAAAGATTTAACTAGAACCAAGAGTGTGGTGGAAACAGGTGATTACAGTACAAAATAAAATCATGGACCGTGAACCTGGGCCTATACTTATCAATAGTTACCTTTCCTATCTAATAAAGTAGATTTCCCACCCCCCAAGTTCAGTCTATTGCAGAGCTGGCTGGTTTCTCAATAACCAGGATCCAAATCGTTCATGAAAGCACCCACCTCCGCCAGGGGTTCTCCTCGTTCAGTGCATCCAGAATGTCTTCTACACTCTGTGATTCTGAAAACAGTGTTTTGTTTCGTACACAGCCAGGATGAAACTCTGTCTAGTGTAAAGTTCCTTTTTCACCTCTGAGAGGTTTGGATTGTTTGATTGCCTAGGGAGGTTGTGGAATCTCCATCATTGGAGAATTTTAAGAGCAGGTTAGACAAACACCTGACAGGAATGGTCTAGATCGGGTGGGCAAACTTTTTGGCCCGAGGGCCACATCTGGGTGGGGATATTGTATGCAGGGCCATGAATGTAGGGCTGGGGCAAGGGGTTGGGGTGCAGGAGGGGGCTCAGGACAGGGGGTTGGGGTGCAGAGTATGGGAGGGGGCTCAGAGCAGGGGGTTGGGGTGCAGGAGGGGTGCGGCAGGGGAGTGGGGTGCGGGCTCCGGCCCAGCGCCGCTTACCTGGAACAGCTCCAAGGTGGCAGCAGCGCACAGTGGGGCTAAGGCAGGCTCCCTGCCTGCCCTGGCACCGCGTCGTTCCCGGAAGTGGCCAGCATGTCCGGCAGTGGCTCCTGGGGGTGGGGTGGAGTGGGGCAGGCTAGGCTGCTCCGCCGCGCACTGCCCTCGCCTGCGGGTACCACCCCCAAAGCTCCCATTGGCCACGGTTCCCCATTCCTGGCCAATGGGAGTTGCGGGGGGCGGTGCCTGCAGGCAAGGGCAGTGCACAGAGCCCTCTGCCCCCCTCCCTTCTCCCAGGGGCTGCAGGGGCATGGTGCCGGCCACTCCCGGGAGTGGGGTGGGGCCAGGGCAGGCAGGGAACCTGCCTTAGCCCCACTGCGCCATGGGGTTGGCAATCCCGCGGGCCGGATTGAAAGCCCTGATGGGCCAGATCCAGCCCGTAGTTTGCCCTCCCCTGGTCTTGATAACACTTAGTCCTGCCATAAGTCCAGGGGACTGGACTAGATGACCTCTCGAGGTCCCTTCCAGTCCTATGATTCTATGGTGCCGCTGATGGTTTTGCATGGATAGTTTTGGGAGGGAGCAAGGCTGGTCAATTGAGATTTTCATCACCTTCCCAGCTGATTAGGGATTGCTTGAACGAGCCATCCCTGAGGCCCATCATCTCTTGGTGTTTAATTTCTACTCCAGGTCCATAAAGCATACTTTCAGTATAAACACACTGGTTTTTAAATATTACCTGTGCATACATCTCGCAATGATTATGAGTCTTGACAAGTTATGAGCTTTTTGCAGACACCTCACATGATAGCCCTTTTGGATAAATACCTTGCAAAATATGTGTTCGGTGTAAGGAGTTTGTCAGGTCTGAGGTGAGAGTGGTTTATTAAGACAGTGACCTCTTGGCAAAGAGTCCCCTGTTGTCACACATGTAAATAGAGAATGCTTATAGAATTAATATTCCCCATGTCTCAGAACCATAACAGTAGCAATACCTATTTAGTGTGGGGAAGATTTTCAAGGTAATGATGGCAGTTATGTGTCTAACTCCCACTGATGCCTCTGAAAATCTCCTCTTATCAAGACCCAGAATAAGCAATATGATTGCCATGCAAACTTGGTAAGTAACATACCTATGTCAGGTCAATGCATAGCTTTATTTTCTTGATATTTGTAGGGAAGAAACTATTTTGTGGTAGCAATTTCAGTGCAACTACTGCACATCTCAGATGGTTTAAAATCATCAGGGCTTTGGTTTCATGCCTCAGGCTTATCCCCCTCTGAAGTGTTTTATAATCTTGCCTCAGTGAGGGGGGAGGGACTAAATGACCTCTTAAGGCCAGCCCTATAATTCTAGGATTCTACAAGAAAACAGAAATACACATCTTGGTGCATCTTAGAGTTGCAGACTAGTTACACTGGGTATGTAATACAAAAATTTCCTTAGTCATAATCACATATGCACTAAGCAATAAGATTGCCTGTGGTTACAACATGCCCCATTTTAGGAAATCCAAAGTAGGTCCTAAACTACATATAACGTCATCTATTAACTGTCAAACCACATCTATTAATTATAAAAGAGCAATCACTTTTTGTCCCTCTACCTCACCTGTCATGTCTCCTTTTTCATATTCTAGGAGTTCATTTCCCAAACACCTAAATATCCATTCACAGACTCTGACTCTTGTTTGTTTAATTTGCAACCAATTTTGCAGTTTGTTGTAATGAGGCACAAAGTAAATACCTGATCCCCAACACTAAAAAAGACACAAAAACAGAAATGCCAAGAGCCATAGCTGCCTGTAGAAAATAAGTTACAAAGTCAAGAAATAAGTCATTGCACGTTATACTTAGCCTTTTAGCAGTAGGCAAGATTTTCAATCCTTATGACACAAGCATTTGGTCCAATATGAAAAAAGCAAATCAATAGCTTAAAAGAAAGAAAAATAACTAAGTATAGTCTTCCGAATACAGACTATGATAAACAGTGACTCTTACTATTTTCCACTGTTTTTACATGCCTTACATCTTAGCTTAGCACTTACGTAAACATTCAAAGTAACTCAGTAACAAACACAATTGAAGAGCTTGTGTAGCATGGATGCCATCTTGTGGATCTACTGGCAAGCAGCTGTTTTTCCCACAGATTTGGGCAAGAAACATTTTTCCTATAACCAGTCTGAGGTTTCACAAATTATAACCCATTACAGATTGTTTCAAATATATTAAAAAGCCAGCATAGAATCATAGAATTGGAAGGGACCTCAAGAGGTCATAGTCCCCTGCACTCAAGGAAGGACTAAGTATTATCTAGAACAGGGGTGGGCAAACTTATTGCCTGAGGGCCACATCGGGGTTGCAAAACTGTATGGAGGGCCGTGTAGGGAAGGCTGTGCCTCCCCAAACAGCCTGGCCCCCGCCCCCATCTGCCCCCTCCCACTTCCCGCCCCCAACTGCCCCCCTCAGAACCCCCAACCCATCCAACCCCCCCTGCTCCTTGTCCCCTAACCACCACCCTGGGACCCCACCCTCTATTTAACCCCCCCTGCTCTCTGTCCCCTGACTGCCCCCACGCCTATCCACACCCTCGCCCCGACAGACCCCCCGGGACTCCCACGCCTATCCAACCCCCTCATTCCCCGTCCCCTGACCGCTCCCCACCCCCAGAACCTCCGCCCCATCCAACTGCCCCCTGCTCCCTGTTCCCTAACTCTACCCCTCTCCAGACCCTGGCCAAATCTAGTTTGTGTAATTAACGTACATTGTATCTACTTAATTTCCCTGTTCCAATTGCCTATAGTTTTATTCTTCGTGTCCTGTCCTAAATTGTAGTGTATCTTTCTGAATACTACTAAACAGCTATTTTGTTTCAGCCAAGAGAAGATTGGATTGAATGTGTATGTGTGTGTTTGGATATATACGGCAGCATTGACTGAGTAAGGAACCACTAGCTCTCTAATACACTTCTACAGGTTTCATGGATTACTGAAATGCAAATTATCATAGAAAACTAAGATGATCAGTTTATTTAAAAAACTCTACAGTTAAAAAAGACGCTAAAGTAGTAAACCATGTACTGTACCTTCGATATAAGTTTTCTACAAAAATGTGTTTTGCACTGTGAATTGACCTCTCCATCATTCTTAGCGGGGAAATCTACAAGATAAAAACAGCCGCCATTCACTAGTTTTACATTTTCCAATGTTCTTCGTTTCTTTCACCCCCTAATGCTGCATAGCATGTCCTTTTACCTCCATTTTTTATTAATCTTCTTCATGGTCACTACATTATTAAACTCCTACTAAACTATGCTGATTGTAACACAGACTAATTGTTTGGGCAGAGAGAAAAAATTACTCTTACTCAGGAAACATTTCTGACAGGTTTCAGAGTGGTAGCAGTGTTAGTCTGTATCAGCAAAAAGAACGAGGAGTACTTGTGGCACCTGAGAGACTAACAAATTTATTTGGGCACAAGCTTTCATGGGCTAAAACCCACATTATGTATATAAACCTGGGATTCCAGAACCAGGAGTTTCCTGACACACTAGACTTATGGAAGATGTCTGAAAGCTGACTGCAGGAGCACCCAAACCCACCAATACCAAGAAGTTAATCACTAGATACTTGACTAGAAAACTGCAGTCCATTAGAATGTGCAGAGCAATGGGAACTGTCACTGCCTGAAGTGGTGCCCTCCTCCGATATGTTACTGAGCTTATTACATAGGGCACTTATCAGAGACACTATAGAAAGAAAACAGGATTTTAGAATTGTCTCAAGTGTGCTACTCCTCCTTCACGGGGGCCAAAGCAGTCACTGTAATTGGTAGAGTATCTCAGCTTCATCTGATCTACCACCCAAATGGGCTTCAATTTTGGTGAGTGATGATTTCCTGCCACTGTTTAAGCTTTTCTCCCTGGTCTCTAAAGAATCAGGTGGTGCTTGAGGAGTTCTTTCCAATCAGCTATTCTGCACAGAGTTAATGGTCACATAGTCACAATTGCTACTGCAAGGTTGACACAGGAACTGGCAGCAGAGTACAGATTAGAATGCAGGGGAATTCTTGGGAGCTTTTAATGAGCTCTTAAGAGACACTGGGACTTTTAACATTTTGCAAATCAAACAAAAGAACTCTCTGCACTTTCAAACACATCCAAACCTTTTGGGTTTTTTCCACAGCTGTGCTAGGAAATACAAAGGAACTAAAAAGGCCTTCTGGGTACTGAGCACCCCCAGTTGTCTGCTACTCAATATGCTCCTTTGCATGGCAGCTCTTTCATCTCACAACTTTCACAGAAGTGATGGTGCATGGAGCACTTTTCAAGGTGCTTTGCAAGACAGAGCTCTGGAAGGCTCCCTGCCTCTTTAGCCTCCTCTATATCTACAGGGAAGATTGAGAGAGAGAGAAAAGTTCCACCCACCCTGAAGCTGGACAACACATGGGACTCTTCTGTGGCTGAGAGAGCCAGAGCAGTGCTACAGGGCATGGGGCACAGAGGGGTAGAAGTGGAAGGCATTTTGCCCATGGAACACAGAAACAGACTGAGGAAACACCTGAGGATGGGGAGGGAACATGCTCAGAAGTGGAAATGATGACACCCTCTAAATGGGTGAAGCATGCACTCTCCCAGTGCTCACTGTTAACAGGTGCAGAGGAGATTGGGATGTGGATTTCACCCCACCCAGCCATGCTCCCTGTGGAGTGCCTCTGGCCACACTAACCCACCTCCCTCATACTCACTTAGCACAAGACCAATGTGCTGGCTGCCTCCTTCATTAATGCACAAGATGGAGAAAGGTCTCCCTGTGACCTCTCTTCCCTGTGTATCTGTGCAAAAGCAGCCACAATCTGGTATGTTCTGTTACTGCTTTAATCCAGACTAGGGACATGGCCATTATAAAAGGCTACTGTCTGCTCATTTTAGGAGACTAGTGTCTCAGCATCTTTTCATTGAAGCTACCAATCATATCCTGTTTCCCTCTTTACATGCCAGCCAGGATACAGGTATAATTTTGAATATTCACATTTAAGATTACCATATGTGAACCCAGAGTTTGAGGTTCCAACAATTCACATACCCCAAAAAATAAATAAAAAGGCAAAGATAACAATCAAACTGAGAGATGACCAACACATGGGCCAACATTTAACAGTAAGCAATACTGGATATGGGAATGAAACACATGTAAATATAGGAGGTAGATGCCCCAGCCCTCACTGAGCATTGACTTGAATATATCAGTGTTGTCTTTTCACATGGAAATTCCTACTAGCTTAGGAACACAGAATGAAAGTCAACCTAGGGTCTTATCTTCTGGATGCAGGGTTATCAAATTATTTTGATCGATAAATGCATCTTAATATCTCTGCTTCAGATTAAAAGAAAAAAATATCTTTAAAATTACCATTGGCCTGGTATGCTGATCCAACATGGTAAGCTGTATGTATGTCTGCAACGTTATCCCCCACCGTGATGAATCTTGATACATTAAGCCCTGGTGTTGGGGATGGGGGCAGAAGAGTGAGAGAGAAATAAAACCACTTTGACTATACCAATTAGTAACAAATAAAGCTAAGCTATATATTTTATACCTGCTCAGAGTTACCGAAATAATGGCATTAAGGTAGCAGACACCAGCATTATTACTCCTGGGGGCATTCTGCGTCAAAACATTAAAAATTCTGCGCCAAAACATTAAAATTTCTGTGCACAATATTTTAAAATTCTGCAAATTTTATTTGTCAAAATAACACTAAATAATCACACCAGTTTCAATTATTTTGGAAATTTATTTCAAAATACCTGTCAGCAAGTATGTCTGTCAGCAAGTATGTATGCCAGGGGACCAGATACCAACAACCCCTCCCCCACAGAACGTAGGCGCCAACTTCTCCTGGCGCCGGTGGGTGCTCAACACCCCCCACGGCCCTGCCCCTGCCCCGACTCCACTCCTGCCCCACTCCCCTCTGCCCCATCCTGTCCCCATTCCAACCCCTTCCCCAAAGTCCCCGCCCCAACTCTGCCCCCTCCCTGCCCCTATTGGACTCCTTCCCCAAATCCCTGCCCCTTCCCCGCCTCCCTCCCACAGCTTGTTACACCGCAAAACAGCTGTTTTGCAGCAGCAAGCACTGGGAGGAGAAGCAGGGATGCGGCGCACTCAGGGGAGGAGGCGAATGGAAGGGGAGGGGAGGGAAGGGGAGCTGGGGCGGGGAGCTTGGCTGTCGGTGGGTGCAGAGCACCACCAATTTTTCCCTGTGGGTGCTCCAACCCCGGAGCACCCATGGAGTCGGCGCCTATGCCGCAGAGCCCAGCTGTGGCCCCCCCGCAAAGCATTTCTCTAATCTCCAGGACTCCCACCCCGCTTCAATTCTTTACACCAGTAAATATCAGCCTGTACCATAAACCCAAAGAATAACACTTTATAGTAAAAAGGGAGTTTTTAGGATCAAGTGTTGGTTTGCAAAACGGCTTAATAGCAAACATCAGGGTTTAAAGTGATCTGAATTGCCTGCGGACACAGACTTGGCCTCTCCCCCCACCTCAAAGAGAGCTGTGAGGCAGGTGGTCTACTGCTGAAGATGTTGGTGACAACAAGGCATGAAGCGGGGCATCCCCCTGCTACACTGCCAATGGAAAAACAGAAAGCGGAGCATCAGTAACCTCCACCCAAGGGAATTTGATTTCCTCAGGACACACTGCTACTAGTAATGGAGCCAAAATGCATATTGTGAGTACAAAAGTGCAAGTACTTTGAACAGGTTGTTTGTGCAATTTAGGCTGGAAGGGAAATTTATTCATTTACTTGTATTTCTGACAGACACACACACACACACACACACCCCCGCTCTGGGTAATAATGCTATTTATCAGAGGGTGGAGTCTCTGACGGTGCTGCATCACTGCATTAAAAGTGTCTGATTCTGTGAGGTGAGGATGACCCTGAACTCTCCCCATAGTCAATGAAGGCACTCAACATCTTGCAGGACATTGTCTCAGCAGTCACAAGGCACTCCCTGACTGCCAAATCCAACTCCTTTCACCTTACTACACACACTCTACCTGTACTGTATTGTTTAGTATTAAAAAACACTTTCCTGCCTGCTTTGAGCATTTGAAAGAGCTGTCCTAGCCTTAGTTTGTTTATGAACTAAAGAACTCACTGCCAGGCAGTAACAGACCCATTGTGTCTCTGAGATCACTTTAAGACTCCAATCCTGCAACCTGCTCCATGCAGACAGACCTTTATGCCTGCACAGAGCTCACTGATTTCAAAATGTGGCTCACTGTGGGTGCAGTGGCCATCAGCATGGAGCTGCTTTCAAGATCGGAGCCCAAGTCCTTCCCAGGACTACATTTTGCACACAATAGGTTTAATGCCCATTCCTCAATAAGAGAAAAAAAAACAATCACCATCATGATATTCATGTTCAGTTACATAAGATTGTGACCATATCCTTGCTAGGGACTTCAATGCATCTAAACCTTCACACAGGACTTTGAGAACCTCAGGGTCCATATTTTTAACAGAACATAAATCACAGGATTAGTTCCTGCCACTTACCAGAAGATTGTGACCACGTACATTCCTCCACTTAGGCACAGGTTCCGTCAAAACCTTAATTAAAAAATGACATTCATTCCATGTAACACAAGCAATTTCAATTTTTTTATTTTATTTATCTGAATGTATCAACATATTCATTTATAAAAATGGTCTTGAATAATAAAGTGTCTGTACTGGAGGATCTATCCCTTTTTTTTTTTTAAAAAGGACTGATTTAATGAAATACACAATGTAATATTTAAGAGCGATTATAAAAATGAAAAAGATGCATTTAATTACAAAATGTGATGGTTGGTAGTTTTATTATTATCATTATTATTATTTTTATCAGCCCACCAAAACAAAGCAATGGCTGACTAATCCCACGTAGAAGGCTGTCATTTATCAGTAACAGTGTAAAGAGAGAAGAACTGACAGCTGAATGTAGAGGGTATTTCATGCGAAAGATCTGCTCACAAATTAAATTCCCATAGGACAAAACAGAATGGCAAAGGAATAAAAGCTGAAGATCAATATGCCATTATACATAACTCTCATTTTATTTCTGTGGATCAAAAAGAAATGCAGTTAGAACTTTAATAATAATCAAAATTAGACAGAAAAAGAAGGTCTATTCTGCCCTAAGTAGCTAAAACCACAAGAGTCTCCAGGGGGGTCTCCATGTGGGCATGAGGATCCACCAAACTACATGATCAGGGCATAAAGGACTTTTAAGATCTTAGTGTGAGTTTGAGATTAGCTAGCTAAACTACATGCATTTAACTTTCTAAATTTTTGCACTGTATACATATTTAAAAAAACATTTTGGGCTACTGGCTAGTTATTCAACTCAATTCATTCCTTTTAAATTACAAAGGACCCTCTTAATACTAAGTATCCCTATGAAGAATCCTAGATTTTTGTATTAATATTCTTCTTAGCAGATCTATCAACACCTTTAAGATTTTATGTACACATAAATAAATGCTTCCTGAAGTTTATTCTGAATTTGTTTTGGTTAAAGCAATTACAGTATTAACAATAGGTTTGTCTTTTCCTCATCCAAAAGCATTTTGCCTATGGAATATGGGATCAAATCTCATGTTTGTTTGACAAACTTCCAAAAAGGAATTATACAAATGTATTTTTCGCAACTAACCAGCATATCTTTACCTGAATTATTTTAGTTATATGGGACTAATACCTTTTAGCTTCATTACGTGAATTGTCTCCGACTTTGCTTATTATGAGATCCATTTAAGATTTTTTAAAACACAGTGAATAAAAATGGTAGTTCTATTGACTATTGTTAGCTTAATGAGGGACAACATTTGATCTACAGAATATACCAGGGGTCGGCAACATTCGGTACGCGGCTCGCCAGGGTAAGCACGATGTGCTGGCCGCGGCTTCTCGCCGCCCCCATTGGCCCGGGACGGCGAACCGCGGCCAGTGGGGGCCGCGATCGGCCGAACCTGCCGCGTCAGCAGGTAAATAAAACCGGCCCGGCCCGCCAGGGTGCTTACCCTGGCGAGCCGCGTGCCGAACATTGCCGACCCCTGAGGGGTAGCCGTGTTATAGTCTGAATCTGTAAAAAGCAACAGAGGGTCCTGTGGCACCTTTAAAACTAACAGAAGTATTGGAGCATAAGCTTTCGTGGGTAAATGCCCACTTCATCAGCATCTTATGAAGTGGGCATTTAC